GCACTGTAAATAACAATGAATTATTCCTTAATTTCCCACACATTTAATGACTGATGAACTGATGTAAAGTACAGCTGCGATACCAGTTTTTAACAAAGTCAACTGAAATAAAAAGTGAATTTTACAACTTGTAGTAAACCTCCTTGACTCCACATGAGTTCAGCTCCAGGATACCCCAAAAACACGGTCACCGATTGCAACCTGAAAGAAAAACATCCTCCCTAATCATTCTGAGGTCCAGACATTTGAAAGCATATCATCCTCTCGGCATGCTGTTATCCACTGGTTCTGAAACACATAGTGGGTTTTAACCCAACATTTTAGGGTTTGTGACCAAGATCAAAGCTGGGACCACAACTCTTTAAAGCAGCAACGGGTAAATACATTGGAAACACTAGAAGTAAGAAACAAGATAGGGTCAAGAGAGAGGGAATAAAAGAGGAAGGTGGAGGAGGGGAGGCAGCCTATATGAGAGGCAGGGATCCCCCACATGGCTAACAAACAAGCAGATTTTCGATGAGTCCAGAGAGATGCAGAAAAACAACTGGACAATGGGGTGGTTTGTGTGGCAGTTGTAAAGTGGTCTGGGAAACTCTTAGGCCTGGTTGGGAGGTCTTCTCAAGAGATGGAGGGAGGCAGAGAGAGAGAAAGAGCAGTGGGGGCAGAATGAGAGAAAACAAGACAGCAGAACACGGAGGGAAGGCAAATGCAAAAATACAGCTAAACGGATACTGAGCTCAAAGACAGTACAACATCTGCTTTCTAATTACTAATCACCTAATTATCATTATAATGAGGAAGTGACAGTCCCCCCAGAAACCAGAACGAGAATTCTCATTGGCTCTTATAATCCAATAAGAAGAATAACAAGGATAATGAAAAAGGATGTCTGGCAAATCCAGTGAAGGCTGTTTCAGACAACTGATCACTGTTATCAACAGAAATCCTCGCAGAGCAGATGTATAGTATATTTTTAACCAAGTTCACCTTAGTCCAGTCTTACATGGTCTACACCATGAACAGAAATATGGGCTAATGGAAGAAAAGGGTGCCACTGAACATTAGGAAGACATGTAGGAAGGGGTTTACGTCATGGTTATAACAGTGTCATGTCAACCAATGAAAATCATTTCTTATTGTAGTGGTTAGTGCACTCCCAGTTTGTTCCCCAGTTTTCTTTGTTATTTTTACTGTAGAACATCCTTAGTGTCAGTGCTTCTGTCACTGTCTCACAGTTAACAGTGAAGAGAAGCAGTGTGAAATCTGTCAACCTCTGACCTTATTTTGTTTATATTCCTTTTTTCTTTCTTTTAGATTAGTTTTTAATATGAAGAATAGAATATAAAAGAAAATGTATTCCACTAATGATGCACATAGGGCAACAACCTGCTAATGTTGATCATTTATCGGATCCCAGAGTGAATGAAACTCACACAAACAGTCACATACATCCAATAACAGACAAGCATGCACACAAATCAGACGTACATGTTATTATCCCCAAAACCGTTCCGGTTTAATGTTTCTTTCCAGGTCTGATTCCAGCCAGGAAAGTTTTCTGAATGCCATACAACCTTTTCTTTGTTTCAGGTCTCTCTGCACTCTTGTTCAATGAAATGAAAAGTGTGCAGATTTATTATGTGTTTATATCAGTGAAAGCACATAAATGCAATTTCCAATCGTAGAACAAACCAGTATAAAAATAAGTCTCTAAATGTTTGAAATTCAAACTGGTTGTCACATGGGCGGAGGTACAGGGACACTGTCTTCCTCTCAACCGGGTCCTTTGTTTCAGTATAATAACCGCTGTAAGAAAGTGATATGGATTTGGAAACTGAAGAAAAATGGTGAAATGCACAGTAAAGGTGAGATGGGGAAGATGGGGGGTGAAGAGGATAGAGGTAATTTCATGAAAATGGCAGTAAGACGAAGAGGAGACAATGAGGTGGGTTTGAAGTGAAAGGAAGTGATGATGCCTTCTTGTCTCGTTCCTTTTTTTGTTGCCCATATGCCTGTTTCATGAAAACTCACACACCTCAACTCTTAAGAAAAAAACACTTAAAAAGCATATAGAAATTATTTTCTTTGAGCACAGATCATTAATAAGCTTCATAGTTTCCATATAGATGGGTGACAAATGAAAGAAGAAACCGACAAAGTGTCTCAGTAAGGACCTACTAAAACAGCTTCAGTGCACCTTGGCTTTGACTCTACAAGTCTCTGAGCTCTACTGGAGGGATGAACACCTTTCTTCCACAGATATTCCCTCGTGGTGATTTGATGATAGTGGTGGAGATGCTGTCTAACACGTAGCTCCAAAATGTCCCATAGGTGTTCAACTGGTTTGAGATCTGGTGACTGTGAAGGCCACAGCATATGGTTCATCAGAACATTCAGTGACCCCTCATGCCCTATGGATGGGGGCACTGTCATCCTGGAAGAGGCCACTTGTTTATTGGGGGTTTTCTACTCATTTGTCACCGGTCTGTAGTTATGTTTGAATGTTTATTTTACAAACACACATTATGTTTCAGGATATATACAGTTTCATAAAATAACTCTGATGTTCAAAATCATATTTAATTACTTTTATTGCCTGTGTGGTTTTATGAAGTTGTAACAATATACTGTCAACAGATTTCTTTGTTTCATGCAGCAGCGTTTGCTGGCAGTTTGTTGGGTAAAGTGTTTCTGCTTTAGGCAGGCAAACACCATCCACTGCTGGGTCATGTCTTAATTTTAGAGCCATCAAAGTCTCATCTCACAGTGATAGCACACACACACACACACACACACACACACACACACAGCACATGTGTACCCAGTGCTCCAGTTGTTTACTTTTGAATCTAGCATACAGTACCTGACTAAGCAGTCCTGCTATTTCTGGACTCACTTGGAAATAATATAAACACACATGCACATACACAAGCGCAGTCCCTTCCGCACACACACATACAGGTATACTGTCCTGGAGACACCAGATACACACAGCCCGGCAGCTATTTCTGGGCTACAGGCTAAATAACGTGTTTTCCTAAGGTCAACAGACCTGGATTCCACTTCCAGCCATGATTCCTTTTCTCTAACTGTTCAGATGATGACATGTTTCTTAAGCTGATTGACAGCAGGAGAAAGAAAGCAGACAGAGATGCAGAGGCATGAATAAAGATAAATAAAGACAGAAGGAGGAAGAGATGAGCCCTCTTTCAGACATACAATCTCAAAAAGGGAACTATTTAATTATCTATTTAGGAATAGCTTTTTGGCTTTCACATTAGTGTGTTCATTGTGGAAAACATTCATGATGACTCACTTCAAATATGAGAGGCTGTTGTGGACAGAAGTGCAATGCTCACATAGTCTCTTGGCATCCAATTTCCAGCTACTGAAACACAGAGAAGTCTTTCTGGGAAGTCAAATCTGCTGTTTAGAAGTTACTGCATTTAAAGTACAATATGCAGAAAAAAATCCTATGCAAGAAAGCTGTATTACTGGTGACGTCAATCACACATCAGAAATGACTTAGGGCTCTTTTTAACCCCGAGGCCCACATGTAAAACTGGCACTGTATTTACAGATCACAGTGGATGTTTGAAAGTGGAAACAGAGACACAGTATGTGAGTGTGTGTGTCCAGTTTCCCAAGGCTTTTGAGATACCACAGCCAGACCTCAAAACTATCATCATTGCTCTTACTCCCATCTGCCAAAGTCATCACCCATACACACACACAGACATACTCTCTCTCACACACACATACAGAAGAGGTGTGAAATAAGCAACTCTCACTATTTTAACAGGGGTGGGAACCTGGCTATAAACTTTCTAATGTTCAAAACTTCTGGCAGTCATTCCACTTACTGAGTGTTCAGGGAAAGGATACGTGTCGGACCACATCAAAACAACAGACAAAAGTAAAGGGAAAGACTCATTCGAGAACTGATTAGCCTACTAAAAAACCTGTTTTGTTCTTATGTTGGCCAACATTAGCAATGTTTCATTCTGTCCAGTGACGGGCAATAGGCTAATGCCTGGTGCACAGAGATAACTGAGTGGTTATGCTCCCTGCTTGACTGTCAAACCTGACCAGTGCCGTGTCTTCCAACTGGCCCGCAACCTGGCTTTTCAGTTGTCTAATATACATCTCACTCATAACTGACAAATTACACTTGAAGACAATAGAAATTAAACAATGTGTAACCTATCCAGAAACTAACACCTTCAACTAAACGTTAATGGACAAGTTTAATACCACTGGAAAAATGTTGAGAAATTATTTCAAAATCAGTCTTTAGCTTTAAAAATTTGTCATTGTGGTCTCAGGATGCAAACATGCATTTACAACAGTTAGTTCCTTAAGAGCAACTGAAAGGCGGTGTCTTTGTAACATCAGCTCATTGAATAGCTGATTTGTAAAGCAGAAAACAAGATGTTATACATGCACTAGTGGCAGTAAATCCATGATGAGTTCTTTGCTCTGTAGTAATGTGTACAACATTTGTGGAAGAGTGAGGAGCTTGAAACTGTGTCAAATCTTCTGTAAATAAAGAAAAACTGTTACCAAAATTAAAATGCTTTCATGAATAAATTAGAAACACATGAAATTACAGCCTGTCTACTTTAATACAACATACAAGCTACAGTATAACGCTGATGCTCAAAGTTGAAGACCAAAAAACAACAACATACGACACTCATGACAACTTTGAATGTGCACAAGTCAAAGTAAGTTTGGTGGGGGAGCAGATCTGTAAGTCAGGCATCAGTTTTCAACCCCTGTCTGAGGGTGTGTTCCCCAGAGAGAGGATAAGGTAGGATCCTAACTGAGACCTCAAGAGACACCAAAAAAGAAAAGGCAGATTTAATTAGAGGCTTAGAAGAGAAGAGAAGAGAAGAGAAGAGAAGAGAAGAGAAGAGAAGAGAAGAGAAGAGAAGAGAAAGAATCTGTGACATCTGCACAGGAGGTACAAAGGTAAATGACCTTTGAAGAAAGGGTACCTTGGTAAGGAGGCATACTGACGTTCCACCTCTTCATAACGTGGTGCTAACTGGGGATCTGTCCCTCTGGTTGGCATCTGGTAAAGAGAGACAACAGGTTAGTTTGTGTAAAAACTTAAACCACAGACGTTTTTACGTATATCTTCAAGTTTAACTGTGTCAATTTCTCGGCCTCAGGTATGAATAAACTGCAACACTGTGAGCCTAAGCATGTGCAATGCACACACCTTTCCTTGTGGTAACGTGCGTGTATTTATACGACTATGCATTGTATGGACCAGTTTGTGCTTTATACTATGGGATTGAGGACATTTTGGGAAAGTGAGGGTATTAAAGCTAGTCCTTAGCTTGTGACACCCCCTCAAAGGGCTGTTTGATGGTTAAGACTTGGTTTTAGGGTTAAGGTTACAATTAGGTTTAGTTTAGTTAGACAAGTGTTGGGGTTAGGCATTTAGTTGTGATTGTTAAAGTTAGGGTAAGGGACTGGGGAATCCATTATATCAGTGAATGTCCTCACAAAGATAGCTGTACAGTATGTGTGTGTGTTTACAGGGGTAATTTAGGAGTGACAAAGGCTGGTTATTAGAGACTCAGAGTTTTAGGCTACTGAAGTTTTTAGGGGGTGGAGGGGTCTGCAGCCTAGATTAGGTTTCTTCCAAACAGGATGGAGACATTTTATTACACACACACAAACACAGAGTCAGTTCTCATCTCCATCTTGAGAAAAAAAAATCTTAAGCCAAGTTGCTGACGGTTCAGTCTCTTGTGCTTCCTCTTTTACTCTTCATCTCACTGGTTCTCTAACACTCTCACATCTAGTTTTCTCTTCCTCCACTGATTCCCATTCCTCTCTTTTTCCTTTTATGCACACACAGCTCGCTCCCAGAGATTATCCTGTCCTATTCTGTAGGGAGATTCCAGCTGCCATGGTGCTCCTTAAAGAAGCCGACTAAACCCCAAACATCAACAAGCTCCGTTAGCACACACACACACACACACACACACACAGACATAAAAACATGCATGCTATTTTCTCTGAGACACATTGAACATTGTAAATGAGAGTCATTCTTATATACTGCAGGGTGAGGGAGGGAGATATGATTCAGGTGACTACGAGTCTGCATACAGCACATGGTGCACCCTAATCATAAAAATAATACTTATATGGAGGATTATTCAGTCCCTTCAGGGTTTTTTTTTTAAATAGCTCATCAAATGTATCACACCTTTGCCACTGTTAAATGGAGCTTTTGTGGATAATACACATTTCTATCTGATAAAATTGCACAACACATAACTGCTCCTTAAAGTACATTTTTGTGTCTCTGACAGGACTTTATTCTTGCATTTTGGATCCATAGCTTCTGATAAAAGAAGGGTTTACACCATGTGCCCAGACAGTGGTAAAGGAATGACAGTAGATCCAAACGAACATGCTAAAATCAGGGTGAATTCTATGGGTGTGTCCCATGTGGTGCAGACAGCAGGTTAAAGGTGTTATATTCTCTCCTTGTCTCCAGATAATTTTGTCAGTGGGAAAGGTGCTGAGACTAAGATATTACAGACCACAGCTTTTCTCATCCTCTTGTCTCTGCATTCCATGGCATGATGCCAGGAGGCATATAAAGCAGATTTGCTGGTCCGACTTTCTTTTGAACACCTGTCTTTATAGCTTCAATATCTCAGGTAAAGAGACAGCAGGATATTAGGTTCGCCTAAGAGAGAGGTGGAGTGAAAGAATGAAATGACATTAGATGGAGAAGAGAGGAGAAAAGAGAGGTAGAGTGAATGAGAAGTAAATGAGTTATGGAGCGCAGATGAGGGAGATACGGAGAGGAGGAGGGATATTATGAGGCCATTGAGAAGTGTCAGAGAGAGAGAAGAGATGAGAGGTGAATTATACAACAAGGGAGCGAATGGGGTGAAGATGGAGACAAAGTGGGGGAGGTGAAAAGGACACTACCGACGTGATTTAAACAAGGCGTTAAGGAGGGAACTAGAGATAGCGAGAGGGCTGAGAGATGAGAGGGGGGATGACTGTAACATCTGGACATGACCGAAAGGTGAGAGACACCAGTAAGGGGCTGAAGAAAAGGCAAAGAATCATGTATAGAGGAGTGACTGAAACTGAATGAAAGAGGGAGAAGGATGTCACAGAGACACACAGGAAGGCAGTTGAAAGATAGTTTTGACAGAACTGTCCTTTACAATCAGGGTAGCATTATTCTATGTTTTTCTTATTGTCAAAAAATCCCATTAAAAGACCAAAACCAATAACGCTTTAGTCTCTCATACTGTCTGATTTCTCTACAGTGTCTGTGGCTCTCAAGGAAAGCCCAGTTCATGAAAAACAGGTCACAAATACAAAGTTTCATTTTTACAGAAGGTTCAATAATTTCCTAAAACAGCTGAAAACTGCAAATATTACTGAAATGTGTAAATATTGCATTTGTTGCGGACTACTTTTAGCTGTACTACTACACATTTGATATATTAGTGAGTATTTATGGCAGTGACATGCGGGATTGACTTAAAGCTACTCTACCTAATTTCTTTTCAGCTGATCGAAGGCCTATTGACACTCAAAACAAACTGACACGTCGTTACTCTTTGCCCCTCATGTCCTGTTTACTAGCAACAACGTAAACTACTGATATCTGGTTGCAACAAACTGCACAAAATGCAGCCTCCAGTCCAGTAAAAATCCCAGGTTCCTGCTAATGTGACACAAAGCACTTACATTGCACAGTTCTGCGCTGTATGGGACAGGAAAAGTTGTACCAGACTTTGGCCATGGGAGCAGTACTTGTTGGTTTGATCAGTTTACTGTGGGTTTTGGTCCTTTCATGGGATTTGCTGTCAGTAAAGAAACATATATACAGTAGTATTCCTGCCCTTATTAATTAAAATGCAACAGACTCTAAATTGAGTCTAGACTGTGAGTGAATACACTGTTTGGGGCTCTTCTGCAAGTGTGTGCGTGTCTTTGTGTGTTTCCATACATATGGATCAAGGGCAGATCATAGTGTGATGTCACATGCCAAGAAACACAATCACATGAACATGTAATGAATATGCATGTAGGCATATGAAGTGAGGGAGTGTATTGTGGTCAGAAAAATATCTACCTGATCACTAGTAGTGTTGAGAGAAGGTTTGGAAACAGAGTTAACCAAAGTTAACAAGTAAGCTTGTTCATGAATAACCCTTTCTTCCAGTTAACTCATATATGTGTGAATATACCTCTCTAAGTGCGTGTTAGTGATTAAACGTTCATACAGTTCTGTTTCAGGGTGCAGCAACATTAGTTCGGAGTAAATACAAGAGCTGGGCAGTGTTTGATTTGAAAGGAGCCCGCGATGCACAGCATACAAGTCGGAGAGCAAGAAGCTGTCCTCACATCAAACACGAATTTGTGATGAACACCATGTATGCATATCCAGTATCCAGCTTGTGTGTACATTTTGCACTTTGAAAAACTTTTTTAGCCAGAGTAATAAAGTACACAAAGTTCTACTGAAAGATGCTTACAGCTGAAAATCTGACAATCCGAAAAAAAAAAAAAACCTCTGCCAGAGCTACAACATCCCCCAGATTGTGTATGAGCTGAATGACTCAGAAACAACTCCAGCTGTGTGTGTTAGTCTGTCTGTGGCTGTGTGTGTATGCGTGTAGGAGAGATAGATGTTATTCACAACTGTGACAGGAGTACAGTGCAGGGCAAACACTACAACGGCTTAGCTTGCGTGGGACACACTGTACACAACCTCTTTTTTTTCCACTCACATGAACGCTCGCACACACACACACACACAAACTTATATGCACACACAATAAAAAAAACCTACACTTAAACAAAACATGGATAATCTATCTCTTTCAAGTATTGTACTCATGCACAAACATAAGCTCTCTCTTTCTAGGCACACACACTCACACACACAAAATTTAAACACACTCCTCACTCACAGAAGACTGTGGCAGTAGTGTAGCACACTGGTCGGGGTAATGGTCTAGTGAAAAACCATTTCACGGCACAGCAAGCAGAGGAGAGGCAAGGAGGAGAGCGCGGAAATCAGGCAGAAGAGACTGATACTGGAGGGAAAGGGAGCAGAAACACACACACCCAGACTTACACAGGCACACACACTGTAAGAGGGACTCATCTCTCTGCCTTTCAATAGACCCTTCAATTTACCCATAAAACACACCATCCCATCACCTTTAGCACTGACACGCTCACACAGTCACAGTTTTTCTCTATGTTTCTGTGTTTTCTTTCTTGGCCTATCTCACACACACACACAAGAGTGAGTTTTTTCTTGTTTGTTTGCTTAGTTTTATCTTTATTTTTTTTTAAATTTAATTTAAGCTATTTCAAGGATTTCAAAAGGATTTAGTTTAATATAGAGTATTTGGTAGACACATACTGCCTCAGTGAGACTACTTAGTCCAAATGTAAAGTATCTCATTCTTCTTTTTAATGCTTACACCAGACTCTTTCTTACCTCCCTCTTTCATCCTCTCTTCCTCAATCTTTCCTTTTCCCAAGTCCAAACCGTGTCTTTGCCCTTCATTAACCAACTCTTCTTAAGTGAAATAAAGGGTCCTCTTAATACAGTTAAATCCCAACCCCTACCTCCTACTTAAGATTTAAGATCTCTTTTCTCTCCATAAAAATGATGATGTCTCACTGCACCTTCCTTTCTCCTTTCCATGTATTTCTCACTCATCACCCTGCTCTCTTCTATTTACTCCCATTCCTCTTTTGCTCTTAGTCCACGGGTCTTTCTTTCACTCCCAATGTTCCTTCTCCCTCTGTAAATCAATAGAAAAAGTTTTTGCTTCCTCTCCGTCCTCCCTCCATTGTGCCCCCCCCCCAAACCAGCTTCTCTCCCACCCCAGTAGAAATCGATGGATGAGTAACAGAAGGCTGGTTCTAATCCATATCAGTCATGTCGCTTTGCTCAGCCAGCATTTGGGCTAACTCAATTAAAACACAGCTCTGAAGAGGCTGCAGTTACTGTGGTGTGTGTAAGCATGTTTGTGTGTACTGCTGCCTGTCATACACCTA